ATTAAGTGTAAATAACATCAGTTATGTAGTACTCATCGTATAATAAGGCATACCATTTTATGTCCTGTGTGTAATTGAGGCACTGTCTCCGATCGATTACAGTACATATAATTGGTTGATGCCAAATTGAACAAGGGTGAGACATCAGTGTAAAGTGGGGTCTCTGTAACGTCGGGGTTCACTGTAAAGTGAGAGGGCGCTGTAAGATTAGAGATCAGTGTAAAGCGGGATCTCTGTAACGTCGGGGTTCACTGTAAAGTGAGAGGGCGCTGTAAGATTAGAGATCAGTGTAAAGCGGGATCTCTGTAACATCGGGGATCACTGTAAAATGAGTGGCCGCTGTAAGATTAGAGATTAGAGATCAGTGTAAAGCGGGTTCTCTGTAACGTCGGGGATCACTGTAAAATGAGTGGCCGCTGTAAGATTAGAGATTAGAGATCAGTGTAAAGCGGGGTCTCTTTAGCGTCGGGGATCACTGTAAAATGAGTGGCCGCTGTAAGATTAGAGGTTAGAGATCAGTGTAAAGTGGGGTCTCTGTAACGTCGGGGATCACTGTAAAGGGAGAGGCCGCTGTAAGATTAGAGATCAGTGTAAAGTGGGATCTCTGTAACGTCGGGGATCACTGTAAAGGGAGAGGCCGCTGTAAGATTAGAGATCAGTGTAAAGTGGGATCTCTGTAACGTAGGGGATCAATGTAAAATGAGTGGACGCTGTAAGATTAGAGATCAGTGTAAAGTGGGGTCTCTGTAACGAAGGGGATCACTGTAAATAAGAGGGCGCTGTAAGATTAGAGATCAGTGTAAAGCGGTGTCTCTGTAACGTCGGGATCAATGTAAAATGAGAGGGCGCTGTAAGATTAGAGATCAGTGTAAAACGGAGGCTCTGTAACGTCGGAGATCAATGTAAATAAGAGGCCGCTGTAAGATTAGAGATCAGTGTAAAGCGGGATCTCTGTAACGTCTGGGATCAATGTAAATAAGAGGCCGCTGTAAGATTAGAGATCAGTGTAAAGCTGGATCTCTGTAACGTCTGGGATCAATGTAAAATGAGTGGACGCTGTAAGATTAGAGATCAGTGTAAATTGGGGTCACTGTAACGTAGGGGATCACTGTAAAGTGAGAGGGCGCTGTAAGATTAGGGATCAGTGTAAATTGGGGTCACTGTAACGTAGGGGGTCACTGTAAAGTGAGTGGACGCTGTAACATTAGAGATCAGTGTAAAGCGGGGTCTCTGTAACGTAGGGGATCACTGTAAAGTGAGAGGGCGCTGTAAGATTAGGGATCAGTGTAAATTGGGGTCACTGTAACGTAGGGGATCACTGTAAAGTGAGTGGACGCTGTAAGATTAGAGATCAGTGTAAAGTGGGGTCTCTGTAACGTCAGGGATCACTGTAAATAAGAGGGCGCTGTAAGATTAGAGATCAGTGTAAATTGGGGTCACTGTAACGTAGGGGATCACTGTAAATAAGAGCGCGCTGTAAGATTAGAGATCAGTGTAAATTGGGGTCTCTGTAACGTAGAGGATCACTGTAAAGTGAGTGGACGCTGTAAGATTAGAGATCAGGGTAAATTGGGGTCACTGTAACGTAGGGGATCACTGTAAATAAGAGCGCGCTGTAAGATTAGAGATCAGTGTAAATTGGGGTCTCTGTAACGTAGAGGATCACTGTAAAGTGAGTGGACGCTGTAAGATTCGAGATCAGTGTAAACCAGGGTCTCTGTAACGTCTGGGATCACTGTATAGTGAGAGAGCGCTGTCACATTAGAGATCAGTGTAAATTGGGGTCTCTGTAACGTAGAGGATCACTGTATAGTGAGAGAGCGCTGTCACATTAGAGATCAGTGTAAAGTGGTGTCTCTGTAACGTCAGGGATCACTGTAAATAAGAAGGCGCTGTAAGATTAGAGATCAGTGTAAACCAGGGTCTCTGTAACGTCTGGGATCACTGTATAGTGAGAGAGCGCTGTAACATTAGAGATCAGTGTAAAGTGGTGTCTCTGTAACGTCAGGGATCACTGTAAAATGAGAGGGCGCTGTAAGATTAGAGATCAGTGTAAATTGGGGTCGATGTAACGTCTGGGATCACTGTATAGTGAGAGAGCGCTGTAACATTAGAGATCAGTGGAAAGTGGTGTCTCTGTAACGTCAGGGATCACTGTAAATAAGAAGGCGCCGTAACATTAGAGATCAGTGTAAATTGGGGTCTCTGTAACGTAGAGGGTCAATGTAAAAGGAGTGGGCGCTATAAGATGATATAAGTGTTTAAAATGTAAAATGTAGAATAAGAGATCGGATTGAGGATGGTCTCTGTAACGTTGGAGTTCACTGTAACATGAGTTAGATGCTGTAATGTGACCCTGTGAACTAACCTGTAATGTAACAACTCATGCAGATGATAACCCCTTCAGGAGTTTGAATTCAAGATGTGTTTGTCCTAGTATCATGCGCTATCAAATACAAACAATTCGTCCACTGGTAATTGTGGTCAGTTGTGGTGTGCCTTGTCTTGATATTGCTGGAAAACTGCTGCTTGCGATTTTATATATAGAAAATATGTTCTATATTGATTTTACGAAACGACAATCAAATTATGTGTTTAATGTACGTAAATGCAAATACAAATTGTCAATGCAGGAGAATAGCCATCCTAGATTTTCTGCTGAAACAGACTCCACTTGGCGTAAAGGGCAAATAGCTGTGGAAATTATATGAATGAACCGCTGAAAATCAGTGATGACACCAGGTGTTCGCGAAAAGGGTAAGCATGTCCTAACGGTAGCACCCGTCATTCGTACAATCTGCATAAAACTGTAAGTATTTATTGCCTGGCACAGCACAGTAAAATGTGTATATTCCAGAGACACATGAATGCGTGAAATAAGAAGGAAACACCCTCGTATAACACTGTAGTTTCAATGGCTTCAATTGCGTCAGACATACATATTATCATCTTCCCGAGGCAAGAGAGCTAAATGACTTAATAAGTCCAGTTTCCACCCTTTACGAACTGGGCTGGAATTCCTGGGCTCGATCGTAGCGCCACCAGTGGCTATTACCGGTTATGTCCCTTCTAAGCCTCTCCTATGGACCAATCAGATTCCACCTCTCGTATCACTTGCATTTGCTTCAAACAAAATGGCGGCGCCAAGTCAGGACGATCTGCTCGATAATCAAGATCTATATTGTGATAAAACGGGTCTTACATCGCGAATCGCTCAAATCACGCGAGCACCTTGATTAAAAACATGAAAAGATTTGGAAAATATCTGTTGACAACGAAATGGCGGTACACATGCTTTGCAAATCCTGCAATCGACCGAAATCTGCATGACAGTTTACGAACCGCATTTCGATTTCGTTGTGCGATTTTGATTGGACTATGCATAGACTCGTTAGTCCAGCCAAATTGTAACTCCATAATACCAGCCTAGTTCGGCAAGGGTGGAAACTGGACTTTTATAGTCAATTTACTTACTTGCCTCGGGAAGATGACATATTATGCAAAGAGGAAGGTCAATCACATACGAATTCCTTCAGGCAAGTCGTACAGACACCCATGTAGATCAGGTTTATTGCAATCAAAGAACAATTCCCCATCGTTTTTCTAAATTGAAACATACCCGTCAATCCACTTTGCCAAATGTCTGCTGCAGCCTGCTTTGGGGGCATTGTTTCCACATTAAGCTGACTCACCGTGATATAACTGAAATATACGACTCCATTTTGGATATTTGTATCTCTCCATGATACACAAAAAAATATTCTCATCATAAACTGCCGGACAAAAGAAATTATCATACATCCATGTCAGAATGATGAGATCTGATTGGTCCACGTGATCTTGATATAATACTTTATCACACCTCGTTGTCAGAATGATGAGATCTGATTGGTCCACGTGATCTTGATAAAATACTGCGTAACCCGCCTTGGGGGGTAATAAATTTCTCATGGGTGAATAAATCTCTTATACCCCGCGACGAGCACTACACTGCATTTCACTGCAATTTTCAAGTGTATACTATAAGTTGTAGCAGGATCACTCGGGGAACATGGGGTTTTATAAATCCCTCGTTAGGTTTTATACCATTCGCCTCCGGCTCGTGTATAATACCTAACGCGGGACGCATAAAACCCCATGTTCCCCTCGTCCCCTACAACTTATAGTATACACTTGAAAATGGATGTGACCAAAACATTACAAACGTTATCAAAACTAGGCTGACAACAATCTCCGAAACACCGTAAACGTATGGTCCAAAACACAACGATGATACCCGTATTAAACACATCGCCATGAGAAAAGGGGCGGTCGGGTAGCCTAGTGGTTAAAGCGTTCGCTCGTCACGCCGAAGACCCGGGTTCGATTCCCGACATGGATACAATGTGTGAAGCCCATTTCTGGTGTCCCCCACCGTGATATTGCTGGAATATTGCTAAAAGCGGCGTAAAACCATACTCACTCACTCACTCCATGGGAAAAAACATTTCTTGTTTAGTTTCAATTTAGCCACCATCAAATGTGGTGTATACCTTCTTTTGCCCGTCAATTTATGTCAAGTACATATGTAAATAGAATGGCATAGCTTAATAAAAAGTTGTATAGTATACTATTCGAATGGACGTTAAAACAATTCATTTCCTTCAATAGACCCATGGAGATCCGGGTTAGAATTCCGCAACCCATGCTTTATCGTGAGACGACTAACGGGATCAGGTGGTCAGGCTCGCTGACTTGGCTGATACATGTCATCGTATCCCAAATACGTAGATCGATGCTCATGATGTCGATCACTGGATTGTCTGGTCCAGACTAGTCTATTTACAGACCGCCGTCATGTAGCTGGAATATTGCTGAGTGCGGCGCTAAACAAACAAACAACAACAAAACTCTCTTCAATAATAGCATCCTGTAGCAGAAATATCTGACCAGCAATGATGAAAATTAAAATTCGTAATGTATGGACAATGTTGTCAACTTGAATATATGAATACATACAGTTATCGTTTTATGTTTTATAGCGTTAGCAATGATTACACCTTGTAATATATAAAACACATTGAATAGAAAACTTTTAAAGAAAATTGGTTCGTTGAAATATCAATTGGACGGGAAAACAGACCAGCAGTTGTTTCAAACGTCGTTCTAGCGCCCTCTGGAATCAGTAGAAAATTCTCACACAAACATCACACAGTACTTTGGTTAAAAGAAGAATCCATCTCACATATTCAGTACCTCCTTTACAAAATCTGAAAACGTAATTTGCGGTGAAGAACGCCAATCGTTCCCACACCCGTACATCTTCTGTTCGTTTTTATTTTCCTGATGTTTTATGACATCCAAAACCAATTCCTTTTCTTCAAACATCCGGGAATCTACGAGCAGACAGCCACTAAACTACATAATTCTCATTGGCTGCCTTTGTAGTGTCTGTAAGGATTAATCTTACACAGTCGGTGCTATTTCCCGGTTTAGATTGATGAAAGCGTTGTACCATATACGAACGTCATTCGGATCATCTCCACCAAATAGGTCATCTCGGACAGCATTAGAAGGAATCCATATTGGAAATGGATTTACTAGTTCATGTAGCAACCACACCCTTGAGACCTTCACACGAATGTCTCAGGATCGGCCGTCTTGTTATGCGTACTTTACGCAGCGGGAGATGGCGCTACGCGGATTTCAGTGAATTCATGAAATATCACCCTGATTGCATCCAAACGTATTGTGTTGGTCACGGAATAAGCCGAATCGACCCGAATATAACACATGCATAAGAACCACACGCGCAAATGTTGTTATATTGTTGGCCGTGCAGCAAATGCATCCTTTTTCAACCACAGAATATCACTCGGCCATGACGCTGGCTTAGACTGGTCAAGACGCCCTCTGAGCATTGGGTCTTCGGCTCTGAAGTTTAAACTAGACATCAGCTCTTTCACCTGGAAGCCTCGCTTATTTGTCCGGATTTGAAACCATTCCATCAGAATTCCGAAAACGTCAATATTCGCGAAGAACTTTCTCGCTTCTTTCAAGGCTTCATACTCATGACCCTCAACGTCAATTTTTATAAAAGCTTTGGAGAAGTTGACGAATGGAAGAATGTCATCGAACAGGACGGTGTTGACATAATTTTTGTTGTAGTCATCATCCATATTGACATCAATGTTTGGTTTGAGTACGTCGGATATGTGTGTGCCCCCGATATTGTTCGGTAGTCTTTGGAACGTTACGATTTTTCGTTTTGCGGAGAGCGCTGAGAATAGAATTGTTACCCTGGACGTTATGTGTCCCTCCTGGACAGTTTTGCACAATCTTAAAACGTTCTCCACCAGCGGGTCAACTGAAACCACATCTCTGCCCATCATGGCGGCGACCAAGGAAAATGTCCCGAGTTGTGCCCCGATGTCTATTAGCCCCATGCCCGGTTGGCGTTTCAGGCGGGAAACCATACTGTATACACCGGGGGAGTCCCACAGACCTGTCCGTTTGATGGAACCAGACACGTGGATGTCTTTGGCCACATCGTGAATGTACATTTTCATTTTTCCAATTGAAGTTTTCAGAGTCGTTGCCAAAAATTTCTCCGGCTTGGAACAAAATCCTGGAATTCGCTCCCATTTGTTGTTCTTCCAGCGATATACATTGGCCTCCGAATTATTTCTCACAATTCCGTTGAAAGTTCTCGTACTGTTATTAACAACCTCAATAAAACTCGCAGGCGATGAGACTAAAGAATTACTTCTAAATGTCTCCAGGTGAAATACGTTTAGCTGAAGGAGAGTCTGTATAGTATAGAGCGACGACACGCAGAGACTCCCTGAGAGGAGAGCTCGTACTTTCTTGTTCCCGCAACGAATCATGTTTAGCGAATGCCAGATCGCCGTTGGCCTTAATCAAAGACTAACGGCCCAAAGGTAATGACTTGATTAAGATCAGACAGAACTGATCACCGTGCCGTTCGTGCCACGCCTCCGTCAGTTACCTCCCTTTGAACAATGACTATACGACTCCATACGGCCAAGTGGCTATTTCTTCAAACCGTGACAAGCTCAGGTTCAGATACAATCACCGATTGTTGCCTCAACACCTATCACATACGTAACTCCAGCTGCTACACCAGTCATGTTGACTCTAATTTGCACTTCAATAGAAGGGGGAACTCTACACGCAATGGCTGACGGTATCTCGGCACGACAGATCAGTCAGTCATTGTGTACACTCAAAACGTGTAATAGTTATCCTGCTATACTGGGCGTAATAGCATAGACTTGGAATTAGCTCATAAGCGTCACGCCTCATGGCGTTTGTTTGGGTCAAATTTCTTGGCACCAGTTCATGCAGTCGCTAATGTACTTCATAATATTCTCCTTTGTGACCTGAAATATTCAAATAATGAAAATTCTTAAGTGACCCAAGTGTAGCTTTTTTCCCGGCTGTTCCGAATGTTCTTGGGGATAATAATGTGTATTTCGACAGAAATATCAATAATCACAAAGCTACTTGTAATTTAAGATATATACAAAGAACTGACCTTGCTCAAAATCACGTGCAATATGAAATTTATAACAACAATGACAAACATTAACGTATAAGGGCCATCCTTGCATACCTCCTCCCTCTCCCTCTCTCTCTCTCTCGCCCCTCTCTCCTCTCTCTCTCTCTCGCCCTCTCTCCTCTCCCTCGCTCTCTCTCCCTCGCTCTCTCTCTCTCGCTCTCTCCTCTCTCTATCTCTCTCTCTCTCCTCCCTCTCCCTCTCTCTCTCGCCCCCTCTCCTCTCTCTCCTCTCTCTCTCGCCCTCTCTCCTCTCCCTCGCTCTCTCTCCCTCGCTCTCTCTCTCTCGCTCTCTCCTCTCTCTATCTCTCTCGCTCTCTCTTCCCTCTCTCTCGCTCTCTCGCTCTCTCTATCTCTCTCGCTCTCTCTTCCCTCTCTCTCTCTCGCTCTCTCTCTCTCTCTCCCTAGCTCTAACATCTCTCTCTCATCTCTCTCCCTCACTCCTCTCCACCCTCCCCCTCTCCGCTTTTTGCTCTTACTATTTGTCGACGCTTTGCGATCAATAAGGAAATTAATCATTTGTATCGTTCAAATATGAAACCGTTCTTTCTTTTTTCAAAATAAAGAACATTACCATACCCTGTAAACTCTGTATGAAACTGCACTCGTCTTGTCGATTGATCATGAATACTTGAGCAGATCAACAGTTTTACTGACGCACGCTTCCAATGTACAGTCCGCTGGCGTTGATTGAAGTGCGCTAACTTGAGCCGTATGGCTTAAGACGTAACTATCTATGCTATTAGATTATTGGATCTGTTCACCGGTCTACGTCTCTTCAATAAAGGTCAGCCGCACGAGTTTCCTGTACGAGCCGTGTTGCTTATTGTTAGGATCAATAGCCAAAATGGTTCTTGAGTCTGCCTTGCTGCGCGTCACGGAAGAGTACTGCTTCTAGTGTTTAATACTTCATCGCACTTGCTGGTATTTAAAAACAAGAACTTTACAAAATGGTTTGCATCTTGAATACATCATCGCACTTGGTGGTACTTCAAAACATGAACTTTACAAAATTGTTTACGTCTTTAATACTTCAGCGCACTAGGTGGTATTTCAAAACATGAACTTTACAAAATGGTTTACGTCTTTAATACTTCAGCGCACTAGGTGGTATTTCAAAACATGAACTTTACAAAATGGTTTGCATCTTTAATACTTCCGCGCACTAGGTGGTATTTCAAAACATGAACTTTACAAAATGGTTTGCGTCTTTAATACATCATCGCACTTGGTGGTATTTCAAAACATGAACTTTACCAAATTGTTTGGGTCTTTAATACTTCATCGCACTAGGTGGTATTTCAAAACATGAACTTTACAAAATGGTTTCCGTCTTTAATACTTCATCGCACTAGGTGGTATTTCAAAACATGAACTTTACAAAATGGTTTGCATCTTTAATACTTCATCGGACCAGGTGGTATTTCAAAACATGCATGAACTTTACAAAATGGTTTGCATCTTTAATACTTCATCGCACTAGGGGGTATTTCAAAACATGCATGAACTTTACAAAATGGTTTGCGTCTTTAATACTTCATCGCACTAGGTGGTATTTCAAAACATGAACTTTACAAAATGGTTTGCATCTTTAATACTTCCGCGCACTAGGTGGTATTTCAAAACATGAACTTTACAAAATGGTTTGCGTCTTTAATACATCATCGCACTTGGTGGTATTTCAAAACATGAACTTTACCAAATTGTTTGGGTCTTTAATACTTCATCGCACTAGGTGGTATTTCAAAACATGAACTTTACAAAATGGTTTCCGTCTTTAATACTTCATCGCACTAGGTGGTATTTCAAAACATGAACTTTACAAAATGGTTTGCGTCTTTAATACTTCATCGGACCAGGTGGTATTTCAAAACATGCATGAACTTTACAAAATGGTTTGCGTCTTTAATACTTCATCGCCCTAGGTGGTATTTCAAAACATGCATGAACTTTACAAAATGGTTTACGTCTTTAATACTTCAGCGCACTAGGTGGTATTTCAAAACATGAACTTTACAAAATGGTTCGCGTCTTTAATACTTCATCGCACTAGGTGGTATTTCAAAACATGCATAAACTTTACAAAATGGTTTGCGTCTTTAATACTTCATCGCACTAGGTGGTATTTCAAAACATGCATGAACTTTACAAAATGGTTTGCGTCTTTAATACTTCAGCGAACTAGGTGGTATTTCAAAACATGAACTTTACAAAATAGTTTGCGTCTTGACTGGGATGACATGTTGTCACTGACTGAATCCTTGTAAGTGCAGAAGATGCATGGAGACGATGAAGATAGAACGAAAACTGTGAATGACGTTTCCTTGTTTAATTAATGGTCATGAATTATAAGGAGGGGAAGTAGAGAGTATGGGAAGGTCATGATAGACAGTAAACAATCAACAGTAAACTGTGTTTGTTTGTTTGTTGTTTAACGCCGCACTCAGCAATATTCAATCTATATGACGGCGGTCTGTCAATAATTGAGTCTGGATCAGACAATCCAGTGATTGCCATCATGAGCATCGATCTACGCAACTGGGATACGATGACATGTATCAACCAAGTCAGCGAGTCTGACCACTCGATCCCGTTAGTCGTCTCTTACAACAAGCAAGTCGCCTTTTGCGCAAGCATGGGTTGCTGAAGACCTATTCCACCCCGGATCTTCACGGGTCCAACAGTAAACTCAGGAATACAACTGGTCACAACCTGTTCAATGAGTAAGTGAGATGGCTTTACGTCATTCTCAACATTATTTTAGATAGCGAATCGGCTTAATGTGGGAGGGGAACCCGATGCAGGTCCTAGACGTTTATGTCTTTGGTTGTATACCCCCCAGGGAGCTGAGAATGATATTCAAATGCACACTGATCTATTGGCCGGGGTAGTACTGTTAGCTATTTGAGCATGAATCGAGTGTAGGGAGGCTGTCAGTGCATACATGAGTAGTGTTGTTATTAAATACAAGAAACAAAACCCTTTCCATATGAAATATCTGACTAAAGCAGATTCTTTTTACGATTCCGACTATATCATGAGCATGTGTTTATGAGTGAGTTAATATTTTACGTCACATCGGCAATATTTCAGCCATATCGTGACAAGAACAATTTATACATGAATAATATTTACATTCAGATCATAAAAAAAACTGCCAACAAAGGACTGTAAAACAACTAGAATATCACAGATTTATATTGAAACTACCATGTTACCATAGTGAGTGAGCGAATTGTGCTTAACGCCGCTTTTAACAGTATTCCATTTATATCACGGCATGTCAGCTAAATGTGTGAGGAAAGCCCGAAGTGATACAGATATCAGACGTTTACCACTTCGGTGAAACCCACGAGCACGGGTATGGTGCTGACAAACCTAGAAACATAATCGGGGCGAACTAGGATTCGAACCCACGATCATAGGGTTCTAGCGTGTCCAAGGGACGCAACTCTGCACAGGGAATCGCGGCGCTTTAGACGACTGGGCTACAGATCACCAGAAACCAAAGTTAGGCCACCATACTAGCGACCATGGGGGCTTACAGTGCCTCTGCATGGTACCCGTTAGTCACTGGTGAATATAGACAAGGTTTAGCCATGAATTAGATATAAAAAAAATATTCTTTAATTAAACCACTGGTAGATATAAAAAATACTTTGAATGACGTGGGCTTACGTACCCTTTCTGGGGGACAATAATTTTACGCTACTTCAACCCCAATAAAAAGCATAGCCACTAACGATCTCAGTTACTAATCATATACTACAAATTAATAAGATACATAACTTTCTGCATCAAAATATTTCAATAAATTCATTTTTTATAAATAAAAATAATTATAGGAGCTCTTATCTGATTAAAAAGATCCTTTATGGATAAAACCTTGAAACAGTTATCTCTTGTGATGGAAAAGGACATGCTTGACCGTCATTCTTTCATCACAAGGGATATAGAATGAAGGATCTTCACCTATCAATAAATATTCATGAGTATATCATGAATGGACAACACGACATCGTCTCAAATCTGGACTGACAACCCCAAGTGGATGTAACCGACATTTGGTCTTCTTGCATGTAATTTATTTATACCTACTTGGGTGTTCCACTTCTTCTGCATTACATTTGTGATGTAACATCTAACTACAGGTTTGTAGTCACTGTATGGGATAAGATGTGGTGTCACATTTGTTGAGAGCTGCCTTAGCTGCAATATCAGACATTGTGTTACCAACGATCCCAACGTCGCTGGGTAACCAACAAAAGACGATGTCGTATTGGACAGTGGCAAGATTATTATTATCAAGTAAAACTGGATGCTGACACGAGGTATTTTTTATTGCCTGAAGAAAGGACAGCGTTTCTGAAAAAAAGATGAATTCCTTATGTTTATACTGGTTATTTATAATATTATATTCTAGAGCAGTTGAAATGGCATTTGATTCAGCTGTAGAAATGAAAGTGTTGTCTGGTAATCTAGTGGATAAAGTTCTGGATCCAATGACAGTGGCACTGGCAACAGCACCACAATCATTGGATCCATCTGTAAATATAGATTTGTAAGTGTTATATTCGCTTCTTAACTGATTACATTCTTGTTGTTATTGCAGTTGATTTGTTTTAGATTTCTTGAGCTTAGATAAGGTAAGATCCACCTGCGGCTTTACCAATCGTCAAGGAAGCAGAAGAAAGCTGGCGGAAAAGAGATATATTTTCGAGTGCAATATTTGCAGCAGAAATGAAAGGTTTAATTCCAATTCATTGGGGTGGAATGCGTGATGACTTCTTATTGTAAAGATCCTCATAAAGAGGATTAAAT